TAGAAGTTACAGCTTGACCGTTTTTCCTCAGTGTACTGTGGGGTTGTTGTTTTTTGACTCCCACATTTAACAATATGACTCAGTTCATTGTTTTTCCACCCATCACGGCGTGCATCATCACTTTCATTCTGTCTTCTATCTCTTCTTCAGATAACTCAAATGCCAACAGAACCGAAAAGACCTCTAACTCTGTTCACAACACCGATAGCATTTTCTAAAACAAGAGCCTCTCATGCGTGCAGTCCATTAGGCCCCCACCACACAAACAGACCTGCTTTGTTGAGGTGTTATATCAACAGGGTGACCTCCCCTCTACTCCTCCCCAGCTTCCTTGGGCCCCCCAACGGCAGGAGATTGATGTCAACAAGGAATTTTGGTCTCACGTTTTCTTCTACCTCCCCAGACCAAACGCTGCTCCTAAAAATCACTTGCTTCAGTACACAGGGCCCCAGTGAGACCCATTACCATCAACCTTACTGCCACCTTCCCCAGCAACAGGTCCATACGAGCACCAGAAACACCCCAAGTGAACAAGAAGCTCTGCAGAAAACTTCACCAGGAAAGCCAACCATGTGTGCTTGCATGGGGAAATAAGCCGCCTTGTTCTATGAACAGAGTTGTTGCTTCGAGGGGAGGGTCAGCATGGTTGCGTCATCTGTGAACCGTGTCATCGCCAAAAGAGCTGCCAAAAGAATTAAGACCTGCTAAAATGTGACCTTGTTTCTTGGGTGGTGCTTGTCAAACATTCACAAGAAACAAGAACCTGCAAAGCAGCTGCTGGTTTTACTGATCCACAGAGTTCGACAAGGAAGAAATACTTGCAACAACAAAAATCACATCTATGTTGATCTCATGTAGCCTCATCGGTGAACCGATTCCAAAATGCAATGAAAATGACATTCAGGAATCCAGTGATAAAGAAAGGGGCTCCAAATATTTCAACTCACTTTTTAATACCATATAAAAATTTAAGTAAAGTGTTCATATTACAATGCCATTCTGTGTGTAGCAATGAAACTGTGGGTTGCAGTTTTTTTTATTTTATTTTATTTTATTTAAGCTTAAGGGGAGTTCAGTTATCTTAACAGAGACATTTACACATCTTAGGCAAGCAGAATAGTCTTTCATCAGAGTCTAACAGGTTTTAAATGATTAAATTAATAGATTCAGCAAGAATATGTATCGGCCTAAATTACAAAATCAAAGTGTTGTAAACCATTAAAAGAATACCAATTAAAAGCATCTGTATGTCCTGGATATCACACTTGCATATTTCACATTACCTGAATAAATGGAAATGAAAGTTCATAAAAGAGAAAATTGTAGAAAGTTTATTTTTATTTTTTTAAATAATCTGATGCCATTTGAAAAAGTAATTGGCGAATTTGGCCCACTCTTCTTTGCAGACTTATTTTAATTCAACAACATTGGAGAATTCACAAGCACAAATTTACTTTCAAAGGGCATATACCAGATCTTGATTACATTAAGTGCAGACTTTGACTAGGCCAATCCAAAACTGTAATGTTGCTTCATTTTGGAGTCATTTAGAGAAAGACTTGCTTTGAATTATTATCTTGCTAAATAACCCAAGTCGACTTTGCTTAAGATCTACCATTGATGTTATAGTTTTTGTGATCTTTTGATTTACTTTATGTTGTCAGAAAGGTTCTACTTAGGTAGTTTCTTTATTGTACAAGTCTGGCTGTATTCAGACACAGTGAAATGAAAAAAAAAAGGTAAAATGTGTTAATTATATTTCAAGATAGGCAACATTGGTTTGAACAATGTCTACCTTCAATAAAGCAAATAGTTATTTAAACACTTAATTTTGTATTTAGTCAGGTTATCTTTGATATTAAAACTTGTTCATCTGTAGGCAAAGTGAAAGAATGGAGAGGAGATACTTTTTCACACCACTGTGAAATCAATTTACACTGACAAAAGTACTTGGTTTGTTGTTTTCTACTATGCTTTATCGAAGTTACTAAACAAAAAGAAGAAACCGATCTGGAGACGATATCTTTTACAGTGCGTCAATTTTTTTTTCATATAAGAAAAGATCATCCATGACTCACTGAACATGAGGTTCTTTCAGTGACAAGGCATGAGTCAGAAGATAAAGTGTTCAACAGGAACAAAAGGTGTAATAACGACATTCATCCCATCCTTTAACAAAATGCTTGGGTTACGGCTGCTGTTGCTCTCCTCATGGCCTATAAGCGACATCATGATAAAGACAGACGAGTGCTTTACGTGGTCATTGGACGAGTGCAATTGGTACCTGCTAAGCATCCTGACAGGATCATTCAGTGGTAATTCTAATAGGCAGTGGATTTAGTACTAGCATCTATTATCGAAGATGAAGAGTGTATTAAATTAGGTGTGACTCAACTTTCAGTACAAACTTTTACGGGGCTTTTTCATGAAGCACCGATGTCATGAATTACCAGCCTACCAGCCAATCCATCATGCATATGTAGGCTTACATGTCAGCAGTGTTTGTGAACTGTTCTGCAAAGTCAATACTTCCTAAGACTGATGAAATAAAATATGCCAGAAGAAACATCATGGTAAGACCAGTGGTTAATGTGGGGGGCTCAGACAGCATTATTTGACTACATTAACATCGGACAACAAAAGAACAGTCTTAAAGCAGGCAGCTGCTTTTTGAAATAGAACAAGATTGGGGGGTTTCCATAACTATTGTGGCTTTTGCTCAAGAACATAATGCCTATAATAATTACTTAAAGTCATATGAACTATATCAGGGGGATTAAGCGTTTAGAGTCACAACAAAATCTGGAATATAACCTCTCTCTCCTGTTTCCCATCGCAGATTTTACATTACTGTAAAACGGCTACACTGGTGGTCCAGGCTGGGGAATACAGATGGCCTTCTCTCCAGGCATCCTTCAGAGCTATCCATCTAAAACATTCAATAGGCCTGCAGATGATGCTTGTGTGTAGATAGGTTTGCGTGGGGGAGTTTGTGAGAGTGCAGGAAAGTACTCTGTGAGAATACAGACACATGTGTGAGCAACTGTTCAGGGAACGCTAGACATAACATCCAACATCCAACAACAAAGGGCTCATTCTAAAAGGGAATTATTGTAGAGCTTGATGGGAAAACAAAAAGGAGGGCAGAAAAAAAAAACATGTACGCCTCACTCTTGGACTTTATCATATCTTGTCACAAAAAAAAGCACACATTCCAGCATGTTCATTAGAATTGCATTTAATAAAGTGACACAAAGCAAGGCAAAGTCCACTTCGAATGAAAGGAATTGGCAAAAGGTTTTTAAAAGATTTGCAAATGATGATCTGAAAAGTGTGATTTAAATTTTTGATTTGACTGAACTACCTTGCACAGCTGCAAATATTTTAGGATGTGTGTCTAAAAAACTTTAAACACAAAAGGACAGAAAATATTGCAAAAATTTTTTTAGAAAATAAACTTAAGTTTGGTCAGATCAGGCGGAGTCTAAATGTATCTTAGGTTTAGACTTTGGTTAGCCCATTAAAATATATGATTTGATTGAACCATTCCATTAAAGCTCCAGCTGTATGTTTAAGATAGTTGTCCTGGTCCTAGGTGAACGGAGCCAGTCTTTTGCAAACTAACAGGACTGGCTTGCATGTATGCCAAAAGGTTCCCTGTGCATCTTGCAGCAAATTGCAAACATGATTTTTCTTTGGCCTTCATTTAACAACTTTTTTCTTGCTACTCTTCCATAAAGGCCAGATTTGAGGTGTTAATAACTAATAGCTGTCCCATCGACAGATTATCCTGCCTGAGTTGTGGATCTTGGCGGTACTTTGGGCCTCTTGGTAGATCCTCTGATTAGCCAAGCCAGCAGCATGGTTTTTCATTTTTCAAGTGATGAACTCCTCAGTGCTCTGTGTTTCATTCAAAGCTTGGAACACTGCTGTGTAACCTATCCCTGTTTTAAGCCTTCATGCCTGACATGTCTGGTTTGCACCTTGCATTCATAATGCAAAGGTTTGTTTATTCGGCTAAAGAACCAATTCTTTCTGAAGAATGAGTGTAATGTCAGACATAACGTATTCAACTAGATATCACACTGTTGTTTTGTTAAGAAACATCTCCTTACGTTTGCTATTTAAGAAAAAGGGACACTACTTAAAAGATTTCTATACCATAAAACACATTTTTAAGAAAGAAAACACTTAAGGGGAAGGGATGGAATGGGAGTTTGTAATTTGGCAGATAGATGTTTTAATAGAACATGTCTTTGAATTGTGTCTGAAGTGGAATTTAAAAGTTGCAAAGCACTCAAAAGGTTACATTTAGTATAAAAAGCTACTGTAAAAATAGTACAAAAACAAGCATAAAAACTTGAAAATTGATTAATTTTGTTAATCTCTTGTCTAAGCACATAACAAACCCTTAGTGCAAGCAACAAGTTTCTGCACCTTCAAGCTTTGGTTTAAAAACAGAATCATTCTTCCACATTCATACCAATGAGCAATTTGAATCAACAATTAGAAATTAGCAAGGAAATTAAATTGATTATAATTATGCCACTAAACTTTAGGAGCTTTGGGAGACATTTCAACTCACTGTCTATTAAGAGACTATACCTTACGCTGTTGTATTTAATAAGTGCCCCTAAAAAAGGACTTGAAAGCTCTTGTTCAAGACCTGACTCAGACTGTAGGCATGATATTTTTTCCATCTGCAGATAATCTCAGATAATTTTTTAATAACAGTGCCTTGCACGAATGCAACTTACCTTGAAAGAGTCCAAAAACTCTGTTTAGCAGCTTTATATACCAGACAGGTAATCATACTTTCTTTAAAACAATCGAAATTGATTTTTCTGTATCAACAAATTTAACATTAAGGCAACATTGCACATTGAACTTGTGCCAACTTTTGAACTTGTGGCAGAGGGAGACTGTATATGCAAAAGATAAAATAAAGTTTGTGCACAGGAGGAGAACCAGCAGCAACAACAGGAAACAGTCCAGTTCACCTGATTTGGCGCTCTTGCTGCAGGCTTGTCCTGGTGATTGGCGAGGATGAGGAACGGCAGCGTGCAGAGTTGAGGGTGCTGCAGAGCTGAATGGAGCTCATTCCGCGCTGCCTCAAGGTCCTCGTCTGATGATGCGCTATCCAGTACAAAGATTACACCCTGTGACCCCTGGTAATAACGACTCCAATATTTCTTGATGTTGTCAGCCCCTGTAGACACATGGAAGACCGGTGAATCGGTGTGTTTACAAACACGGGATCAAGGTTACACTAATTCTGATAATGGACAAGAATTCACAAGTATTCTAAATAATTAGGTCATGTTTTAGTGACCTAATTTAAATAGGTCTTTTAATGCTTATGCATTTAAATGTATAAGCATTTAAATGCTTATAAATGATCGTATAAGCATTTACATATTTAGTATAAGGTCATATTATACCAAATATATGACCTTATACCAAATGCTTTTAAAAGAACAGGAACACTTGGATACTTACAGCTTAACATCAAGACATTTTCACCTCTGTAGGCGTCTTATTAAACTAAAGCAGTAAAAATTGTTCCAAAAACCAGCAGCAGTTCTCAGATCTGCTGGTTTTTATTAAGTTCTAACCCCAAACTTCACACCATGCAGTTGGTACAATCTTTCTTACATATAATGACAATAAAAGGTTTTTTCAGGTCTTTTGCAGTTAATTTTGTTTATTTTGATCTTTTCTACGGTAGGTGTAAAGTGCTGTACTCTGAACACCTAAATGTTTGTATATAAAAAAAAAAATTAATTAAGTAAAAAAAAAAATTTTTTTTTTTTTAGAAAAAACATCAAAAAATAATGATTCATTGCAAATTTTACTGTCTTGAAGTTTTAAGGTAGAGCTGCCATCTGAATCCTGTCTTTTGACTTAGTGTAGTCAATTTTTTTGAAAAATACAGACATCCTTGACTTGTCTGCTCTGTTACATCATCTTCCTGACGATGTTGGTCACTATTATGCTCTAAAAAAACACACAGAGGCCTCAAATTTAGACTGAGATTAAATTGCACATAAAAAATCTATTATCTCATTAGGAGTAAAATGTTTGTGCTGGATTTTTTTAGGAGCATCAGAAAGAAAATACAAATACAGCTCACACTTTTCAGATTTCAAAAAACATTTATGGTATTGTTTATTTCAGCTTGACTGTTATGCACCCTTTCTAAATATAGAAAAGTGAAATCACCAATTGCCATGTGACAAAATGGGAAAAATCTCAAAGGATAAAAATACTTTTACAAGCACTACATGTTCAAGTAAATAAAGTTTGATCTAGCTCCGATTAAAATATATAGTTTTTAATTAAAAATGCTCACTCTGCATCGAATAAATTGAGTTAGAAAAAGCAGAGTTATACAGACAAGGAGAACAAGATGTCCTGCAACAGATGGTATGGCCCCCACCGAGCCCTACTCTCAACATCATGGAGTCAATCTGGGATTATAAAAGGAGACAGAAGCAACCGAGACAGTCTAAATCCACAGGAGAACTGTGGCAAGTCCTCTGAGGTCTTTAATACAACCTTCCAACAAAGCACCAAAAAGTTTTTATCTCATGTTTTTCTGGCTTTTCTTTTATGGAAAATTCCAGTCATGTCCAGGAACCATATGGCTGCATGTACAGTTAGAAAATACATTTTCTTAGACTTGTTACCACACCAAAACTCGCTTTGTTTCCTCTTTGGCTTGTTATATCACCAGTCATATGCAGGTGTCTAGCTTTAAAAGTATTAATCATTAAAAATAAAATAAAAATCAGCAAAGGAAAGTTGCAGTCACAACTATATAGTTTATGGCCAAATTAAACTCCTTCAAAGCAGATATTCTTGCTTGTTAAAACAAGTGATAAATCCAGGTTCAGTAAAATCATAAGAGATTTGCTGTTTTTGATATTGTTCAAAGCAAGTAGAGCTATTCATGCAGATCCCAAAGTCTATATTATTAACTTTATAAGGCTTTTTAAAACTGTGTTTTTACAAATTTCAGGGAAAACAATATTGTTCATCAAATTGCTTTATATAATAAAAAAGGTTAAAATGGAAAATCAATGTATGAAATCACCTGAACCTATAGCAGTCCCAGTGGAAAAACACATAGAGCCACTCAATGAACAGAAAAATCAAAATGAGCCCAAAGTCTATTTGTCAAGGCAATAAAACACAGATAAAGGGATTTTTTTTTTAAATAATTCTGTACAGCTGAATTTCTTTTTGAAAATCTGCAAGTCAACCTCATGGGTTTTAGAACAGTCAATGATGATTATGATGAGATTACTGGTTTCGTTAAGGTTAAACATGGAGTTTAAATTAGCAACAACTGTGAATCTGACACATACTACAAATATTGGAGCAGCTTTTGGCAATAATGTTATTGCACACACCCATTTCTCTCATGTTGTTTACTGGCAATATATTACATGTATCACAATTTCTAATTTCACTTCAAAATTACATTTAAAAAACAGCAATAACTGAGTGCTGATAGTCATTACCTTTTCAGACCCAAGTTAAACTAATAGGAACCATGTCTTGCACGGTCATATCCTCAGTGGCACTCCATTCTCGGAGCACTGGAAGAGCTTTCCCCTCAAATCTGTTGTAAGTAACCAAAGCCAGCTGCTGATCTTCAGCACATTTCTATCAACTTTCAAAGCAAAATGAGAAGACTTGTGAAAATCTAAAACAGACAGCAGAGTTTTTGCTAACTAGTTTAACTACCCAATTGTTTTCTGCTAAGATCATTGCTTTTCTCACAAGAAAGTACTTTCTTTTTTTGTGTTGACTGGATCTAAAAACCTGATGCGTAGTCTCAGAAATTGTCCCGTCACATTGCACACGCAAGTATGATCCTTATCAGAGGAATGCACCATATTTGGACAAAACGATCCTCCTCCGTTCATTGAGGTTACTTCCTTTATAATCTTGCGAACTGTTGTTTTGTGTTTTAGTTGCTCATAGTATTCTAACTGCCAAGAAATGACGAGCTGTGAGGCTGTCAAATGTTTAAACATCACACAGTCCTCTCACTGACATTTACTTCCCTTCCCTTCATGCTTGGCCCTCCCTTCTCCGTTTCCTCCCCCAGTCAATCCACTCACACCTCTCACTGGAGTGAAAAGCTATCAGACAAAGTGGCACTTGAGAGATTGTCTAGGAAGTTTCGTCTTTGCCTGGAAATGGTGGAATGTCTGTCATGCTTCTGGATCTTGTTGGCAGCTTCTGCCACCTATTGGTCTGACAGGGAGGATTTCTGAGGATGATGTCATGCCACAGCATCCTTTTAATCAAACAGGCACATCATGAGTAAGATCTTTCATCTTTTGGGCAATTTCTTTTGTTTCTTTCAGTAATAGGAATCTGATTACCGCTCGAAAAAGCATTTAAAGTGGAGGTTTTCATTTTAAGTGGGAGAAAATGCCACTGAAGAAGTGAGAACGGCATGCTTCTTATTGACTCTTTGAAGAAGCGAACCATGAAATGAAAGACTCATCATCTCATTTGTCCCATGACAGCACAAATTAAATAATGAGGGACTCTCCAGTGATAAATTAACGAAGACATGAACTACGTTGGAGGAATTACATGAACAAATAGGGAAAGGACTTAGTAGCAATAATCTGGCTACTAAAAGAACTGCACACCATAAGGTGAAGTCGTCAGATATGTGAGTGTTTCAAAGAGCGGTTTTCAACAGCGTTTGACTTGATATATTAAGCTGCTGGGTAAAAATGTGGGTTCAAGGGCCAATAGTACAAGATGATGGTTGTCAAAAGCAAGGGTACCTTAACTTTTAGTTAAGACCAAGTCAGATAAAGCATGTGTGGTGGGTCCATTATGTAACTGTGCAAAAAGGGGGATGCCTTTTGGCCAAAAACCATTGGTGAATCTCATTATCTCACGATGGATTTAAGCCATATGTAAATTCTAGAAGATTTATAAACAATGATGTGTCAGCTTTTTTTTTCAATACAAACATGTCATCTCTATCCAACACAGTGAACTTTGTCTTAAAAATTACAAGCTTTCCATCTCATTTTGGTTTTTTATGATTTCTTGCAAAGAAAATCACAGATTTTCTGACGCTAAATTAGAAATATTTGCGAGAATTTTTTTTTTTTTTTTCACTCATTAAACCACTTCCAGGTCTTCTGGTTCTGGACTGCTTTGCATCCCCAGAACCAGAACCAAGAGAGGAGAAGCAGCTTTCAGCATCTATGCACCAAAACTTTGGAACAAACTTCCAGACAACTGTAAAACAGCGGAAACCCTGACTGCTTTTAAATCGCAATTAAAAACACACCTGCTTAGAATTGTTTTTGAAATGTAATATGTAACAATGTATTGTCTATTATATGTTGCATGACTTTGTGTTCTTGTGTTTATGATGTACAGCACTTTGAAATGCCTTGCTGAAATGTGCTATACAAATAAAATTTGATTGATTGATTGATTGATTTCAAAATCTATATTAGAAAAACTCAGTTTTAGACTTCTTTTGTTGGTCCAGTAAGTTACTGTAAGGTATGCAAAATAATTTTCCGTCAATGCATGGAGAACTAAAGGTAGGTTACTACTGCCTTCCTTGTGCTTTGACATGTCGGTAAATGTAACTTTTTGTTTTTATCAATAACCGGTGGCAGCTGAAGTAAGGCTGAAGCAGCAGTATGGAAGAAGCAGAAGTTTGGCTAGGCTTTTTTTGTTAAGCCATTTTGACTGACAGATTTTTATAAAAACTATTTTTGTCCGTCACTTTACAAAATGGTAATAACATTCACCCCTAAGTCGCTGAAGGAAATTCTGTAGCATGGACTCCTATTGCATGTTATCAAGATGGGCCTTTTTTTTCTCGATTGATTTGTGTGCAAAGTTGGATATGTGTGCTTCTCTGCACCAAATGGTCTAGTGTGTGGATTGTAGTCCATCAAAATAACGTATGGTATTCAGATTTTTAGTCAGTTTAATAATTCCAGTCAAAGATGGAAAATACATGAAATACCTATCACCTTTAGGTGAGTGTTAGTCACTGAAATCTGTTAAAGTCACAAGTATGAATTAGTGAGAAAAAGTGTGGGTTTATTTTTGCAAAATTTCAAAATATTTTACAAATGCAAATACAAAATCATAAAAAAATGGACTGAGTAGTTTAAATAAATAAAAGGTCTAAAAACCAAAAAA